CATTCGTGGGGTTTTTTTATATAGGACTACAAACCAGCACTTGTTGACAAATTGCTACTTATTTTTGGCACACATTGGCAAACATGAAAATATTTTGAAGGATCAAGGCCAGTGTCTCTTGGCTGCACACAAAGGTTGCATGAGTTTCATCAGCTACTGTCACCGGCAAAAAGATTCTGGGATGCAGTATTATGCAGGTATATGACACCATAAAGTTAAAAAAAACAAATAATTTTGAGAAAGTCTCCGAATAGACTGATTTTATTTGTAGTCATTTTAAAGATACATATTTTTGATGGCAGAGAGTCCAGTTTTGCTCTGAAATACAGCTTATAGTGAAATCAGCTTACTTTGTTCACAAGCTGTTCCTAAATATGACTATGTGGAAAAGTAAAAAGCTCATGAATTCCTAAGTCATCTAGAGCAACTCATCTCTAAGAAGATGCAGTATTCCCCATTGCCCTTCTGGTTACTTCCCTCTCCCTCATAGTTTTTATCTTTTTTTACTCTTCGATCTTTATCACTGGAGTCTGTTGCCTCACAGATCAAAGACAATCTAAGAAAAATGCATTTCAGCTATTCATGAAAATAATTTTCACCTATTAAACTATTAAGTTAACAAATGCTTCAAAACAAAAAAGAGAGCTATCCTATCACTATTCAGGGGGAAAGCTGTGTAAGTCTTATACGTAGCCTTTAATACTTTATGCAAATACTTTCATTTAAAGAGCACCTACAGAAGAATTACAGGTGTTCTTTGAGGAGCATAAAGTGTGTCTCTGTGAGAAAGGGTGGATAATGGAACCAAAAGAATTCCCACCTTCCTCCAGAACTGCTTTACATCTAAATTTACAATTTACAATCAGTACTAAGAAAATATTTCTAACAAGATTTCTTAAAATTAACTACCATAGGAGGCAACCATTTAACCTTTTTCTCTACACTGGAATATCTGTCTCATGTCGCAAATATTATAGGCATGAAATAAAATGGCAATGTCTTTCTTTTGCATATTACTTTCATGAATTGAACACCCGCTACAAAATTAATTTCTGGTCTTGAGATGATGAGATGCATGCATATGCCTATATGAAAAGCATGTGGGAAAGCACATAAAAAACCCCAACACAAAACAATTTAATTCCTTTCCGCGGTTGACTTGCAAATCGTAGCAAACCGAGTATTTTTTTAGAAATCTGCTAATGAGTGGTCTTCTCACTCATTGAGTCTTCTTCTAGAATAATAATCCTTCACTACATCATGTATTTCCTTTCTAATGACAGAATGCTGCAATCAAAAAGACCATTTCTTACCATAAGACACTACTGCTGACATAAAACTATCTACAGGCACACCATGCAAACTTTCCCTAATCAGTCATAAACTGCTCGTTACTCTTGAGAAAAATTTCCATACTGTAAACAAAATTGTATTTTGTCATGAATATCATTAACTAGAAATAAAGAAACATTAAGGTTGTTGCTTTTCATCTTCTTTTGAATGCAACTGTTTTAATTTCCAACTAGACGATGTTCTTCAAAACCAGTGTTGCCTGATATGCTCACCAGGCCCTATGCACACGAAATCATTTGGCTTAGAAGACCTCTCTTTTAGGCACAACAAACTACCACAGTGGGTGAGGAGCACGGCTGAAATCTGACAGTGCATTTTTGCAAGTTTGAAAAGCTTCTTGCTTACAGGACTAAATAACTCTGATGAGAATACAAGTCTAGAGAAAGTCAAAACAGTGACACCTTCTTAGAAATGTGTTGCAAATTCCACATTTACTGTCTTCCTCAGTTCCAGAAGTATTTTAAAACCAGCAGGTACTGAAAATGAAGTGACATTGCTTTAACGGGTATAGAGGAATGACAAGAATGCAGATGGTAGTACATCCATTTAGGCATTCACTCAGGTGTTCCTCCTCTGAAAGCTTCTCTTACTGAAGCATTGGTTCTGAAGATCCTGATAGAAGGTGACAGAAGATGCATCTACCTTCTAGAAGAGTTTTCAGCAGAGAAACCTGTGATGGTATCTTAATAGGGCTACCTGTTGAGTGCTCTCACTTTGGAAACCTAAGCACCTATGACAAAAATCTAGGCATGGGAAGTTACATGACACTTCATTTCACACTGATAGAGATGCTGAGGAACTGTAGTGGTGATTGGTTCCACACAATTCTTCCTAACCTTGGTATAATGCATGAGGGTAGTTAGGGTACATGCTATCACTTCTGCCATAAATACTCCTCCCTCATCCATATGCCTATAAGATGCCACACATCACTTAATTTTGGCAAGTGAGATCCACTGCTTCAGTTACACCCAACACTGATGATATTCAAGGAAATAGGCACACATATGTACAGGCAATATTCTAGACACATAGTCTCATAGTACATATATACACAGTGTGAGATCACACTCATATGCAAAAATAAATACATTCTAAACACTCCAGAGTGGAAACATTATAAACACATGTTAAAATTTGTGTAGTACTGCAATACAGACAAATAAATTCTCACAGATAAAATATAGGATATTTGAAAATTACTAATACATTTAGAAACATGTGCTTCATTAATCTTCAAATGATACTTTTCCATCGACAGATATATTAAGGCTTGCAGAATTTTTCCTGTTCCATAAACTCAGAGACACAGCCTCTGCTTACAATGATGTTCTACCTAAGACGTAATTACATGAATTAACAAACTAATAAATCGGTTTTCCTCATAAGTCATTTTGAGCTGTAGAAGAGGTCAATCTACCACCTTTCGTATGCAGACACTATCTAAGAGACTTCTTTTTATTTGCCACAGAAATTATTGCTCTCTGTCTGATAAGTACCATCCTTTGCCATTTAAGCAAGCAGTTTACTTTGTAAGGACTATCAGAAAACATGAATATTACAATTCCTATAAATATAATTCAGCAACCCATCAAGTTAAATCAGATTTTAAAAATGGAGCTATTCTTTTTGCATATTCCATCAAATTGACCCCCTTAAGATTTCATGTTTAAATAGAGGAGGGATAGTTGTGAGGCAAAATAACAGAACTATTGTGCATGGAATAAGATTATGTTCTCTCTGAAAGTAACATTCCAATAAGCTCATTTACCTTCTATTTCTCCTCTCTCCTTTTTCTACTCAAATCTGCTGGGAAAATCTTTCAGAAGTTAAGACTACTCCTATATTTACTGAAGGACACTTAGCCTCCCAGCTTTTCAGCTGCCATTTAAAATATGTATATGCAAAATAATACTTTTCCATATTCGGTATCTGTTTGTCCTTTATACTCACTGCTAGCGTGTCTTAGCATCTTCCAGCAGTGCCTTCTTTCATACGAATAACACCTTTTGTATTGCAGCTTAAGAAGTTCAGTCATCTAAGGTGTGAGAGGTGGGCTGACCTAAGTCACATCATCAAAAACCCATTACCCGAACAAGACAACAGCTACCAGGAACAAGTAAAGGAAGGGATTTTTCCCCAACACTTTAAATAGCTCTGACTTAGAATAATACAATCCTTCCTCCACACTTATTTGCTGGCACAACTGAGACTAATGAGTAACCCATCCTTTGCTGTTTCCAGGATCTCAAGCGCTTAAAGACCAGCTGAGTAAGAAAAAGCTGAAAATTCAGAAGTCTCCTTAGGAGGTTCAGGTAAAACCACATTCCTGTGTGTTAAGTTCCTAGAAGTAAAATTATTTCTTATTTTCCAACATTCCATTTTTCTTTGTTCATTGAACTCAGTTTAGACAATGAAGCCAGAAATATGAGCTTTCTTTATCTTCAACATTAGCAAAATGTCAGTGGGATTGGATTCCCTATATTAAAAGAACAAGATTGTGGTTTAGGGTCTGTAATTTTTTAAAGAGTTTTGGAGCGGTACTCTGAACATCATGGAAATACTATGTAACACTAATAAATTTTGAAAACCTTCTTTCTTTCTGTCCAAGACCAAAGTCTGAACATTGGATCTATCCTAGTAAATCATGTTCCCCTTGAAAATTCAGGATAAGGGAGTCCGTGCATCTTGAAGGAGAAAAAAAAATTTTGATCACAATGGTGTGATAACTTTGACTGATGCAGACACAGGCAGTCAGTGTTTTTCCTTGCAGTGCATTTGATTCTAATTGAGGAGGAATAAATTCTCACCACTTTACACACTGCAAAGTCATGTCTACATCAGATATTATGCAATCACTTCCCTTTACAAGATTTTAAAACTACTCTTAATTCTCTTTGCACAGCTGAAAATGACTATATATGAAACAGCACAATGGGTTAAGCAACCACAGTAAGCAAGCAATATGTCAGACTGACCTACTAATAGTCAAACAAAGAACCAGCTACACAAACCATGCAATCAGATCTAAGCCAAATTCCCACCCAGTACCCATCTTTCACCCCACTGAAAAACAAAACTGACACAAATTGCTGATGCACTTTCCACGAGTGGACTTGGCTAAAGCAAGTTTTGTTATAATGAACATTACATTGGAGGCAAACTTCAGAACTTATTGTTTTCATTACTCAAAATCAAAGAGCTTGTAATGATTTTGAGTACCAATGACTTTATACTATTGCCTTAAGACTACTGAAAAATACGGATGTGCTTTTGAACTCAAAAGCAGACAGACACTATGTTTATTTTTGTTATGAAAATATAACCCAATGTTCACCAGAGTTTTGTTACCAGAAGAGTCCTGCATCTCTCTTCTGGTAACAAAACAGAAATGTGTTGAATTACACAAGTTTCTGGCATTAAAAATCCTGCTGAAATCAACTTAGGCTGAAGGTAAACTGTACCGGTAGAAATTACTAAAATTCTATTTCAGATTTGTAAATATGGATCTAACAACTTTACTTTAGACAATTTCCCCTCTCCCCCATAATACACTTCAAAATAAGAAATTGTATGGCTTTTTAATATAACTTTTCTGTAATTTTTCAAACAAAGAAATTCAGTGTTGAAATGCAATAATACTGTACCTTGATTTCTTCTATTTCGTCTGGCACTATCTTGTATGCAGATATAGTCCCACCCAACCTGAAATAAGGAGAAGAAAAATGTTCTCAAAATCAGTAACAGAAAATGCAATGTGTTAATGGTGTCATGACTTGTTCCAAAACACGAATATTCCTTCTACCAATTTAGAAGCAAAACCCACTAAGCCCCAAATCAAGAACAAACCCCTCCCCTCTTTATCCAACAAAACCCCTTTATGTTATTAACACAAACATTAGAAAGAAGGTGTCCTTCACCTTAACAATTAGGTCGACCAAGCAGAATTACCACCACCGGGATGGTATTCTTTATATTAACAGCCATCAATCATCATATTCTATGATTTCTTGTTTGTGGCCTAAGGCATATGGATGAGTTTAAATATTTGAAGCCTGATGTGCTTTTTGCTCAGTATTTCACTAAGCTACTATACAGTCTTAAAAGCATCCAAATACAATTCTAGAAACTGAATTTTTTAAATTAAATGTGCATGTACAGACCTCACAAATCACACAGGCTCTATGGCCTCCATGTTTGAAAAGTCTCTGCAGTTCATGACTGGTAATAAAAAGTGGGTGATGTGCAATAGCTGGCACTGATGGAGAAAAATAGGAGGTTTTGTTCCACACTGAACTCATTGAAATTACTTTTTTAAATCCTGCAAAAATCCTGGTAAAGAATAGTTTACATACAGAAGATGCATGAACAGCATGTACTATAAATAGTGATAAATATAACATTTTCCCCAGACACATGCAGATATGGCTTCTTTCATTTCATGAAGCAGTATTATTGATAGTGACAATTCAGACCTAAAAATGTAACTGCAATTAATGACCTCCTGCTGGCTCTGCACAACAACACTACTCTTCTGAGTCCTACAGAAATGGAAATCACATAAGAAACTATTTATTGTAAAGCAGTAGACAGCTATCAAATGCACATTTGTATTATTCTCCCTGTTACTGGGACTTTTTCTTCCAATTGTCAGCGTTTCTACACAGATCTATTTCCTTATATTATATCTTGAAATTCTTACACATACTATTTACTCAAGTGAAAAAGGGGAGAAAACGCATTAGATTTTCTGCATAAGTCCTGCCTTTCCATATCTCTACAAGTCACTCATAAACAAACTGCTGAAGGCTTTAGACAGAAGATAAAGTCTGCATAGGAAAAGTCAAGTCTGAAGTCCATCACTGCTCCAAGTAACATCAAGTATGAATTCTGAGTACAGGCAGGGTTCAGATATTACAGCATTCAAATTCATCGTGAACGATGAGTATACTAATTGCTTTCCCCTCTGCAATTTCCATTGCTGCCAGTCATTAAGTGAGCTTAAAAGTTGGAGAGAACTGAAACTTTTCTTTGCCAGTGCAAGTACAAACATGAGCTTTTATTTTTCATGACCTTTGTTCAACTGGTGTTTCTAGGGATAGCTACAAGAAATTGGTTTTAACATCATGACAAAGGATTACTTCATCAGACTGTGACATGAGATGGCTCAGATGAATGTATGTTAACATTGCACATGACCAGCCCTATTGCTGCTGGAATGAGGACCATAAGATACAAATTTTTATTGAGGTCTTTCAGATCCATTCCTGCCTGCATTACGGAGTACTCAAAAAAATAACTTCACTGACTTTCTACCCTCCAGCAGAAGGGAAGGATAGAGCCTCTACTGCCAGTACTCCAGCAACAGGGAATTCCACCTGGCAGAGTTCATTACTGGCCACCCTCAACAGAACTATTAAGCACTTTCTTGGAATATATTCGAGAAAAAAAAAAATCAAAATAATTGACTCAGTAAACTCATCTGGCTTGCTTAAATCATTAGTTAATATCACTTTATGCAAATACTTCTGTAAAGTTTTCTGTCAGGAGTTTAACACACTCTGAATCTGCTAAGTTGCAGTCCACAATTACTCATTTTTAAAAGAGGAAGATATATTAAAAGTTACGTTACTGTTTAAATAAAATCTCTCACTGATAGCTTCAGCTCACATATCTCTTAATATGTTTACAACCCTACACTGACATATTTAGCTTAAAAATCCAGGCCACAAACATAAATAATAACAAACTTGAAGCTGAAAGAGAATCACAGACACAATAATTTACAATTTTATAAATGCCTAAGAGTTGAAATGAAGTTTTTAAGGAAGTCTATATTTTCTTCATTTCAGAACATTAGATTTCATTCTATCTTATAACTTCCAAAAGAGAGATCCACCACAGATTATAGTACCAGATTTAACGGGCAAAGGACATAATAAACACATTTGACTTTGTGTATAAAGTTTAGCTCTGAGTTTCACAGAAGTTTAAAGTCATCACACACTCTGGGAGGATGCAGTTAACACAGTCTGAACTCTTCTACTGGTCATAAGTGTGATATATAAGAAATAGAATTTTTGTTTTTACTATGCAATAATGTATCTATAAGAAAAAAGGATTTAATCTGCTCGTTTGGTAGCCTGTGAGTAATGAACATGAACATATAGATACAATTTAAAAACATTATGCTTTTTTGGCTGATAAAATGTTTTGATTAGCTTTGATGTCATGCAAAAACTATTATGCTATACAATTTACTCGCAAAGCAAACTAAAGAGGCAGAATCTGCTGTGAAACATGGTGCATACTCTTCACTCAAAGACCATAAACACCAGCTTATTGCTACTTCAAAGCAAATACTCTGAGAAATTTGAAAGCATTTAGTTTGGTGTTACCACATCACTACTACAAATCTCCCACAGTCAAAGTGTAAGGGGCTAGACAATGTCACACACACACAAGTTACTGAGAAAAACAAAAACATTGTGGTAAGTGGTAAGAAAAAACAGCAAATCAAGGCAAACAGAAAATCAATGCGTTAATTGATATGTCCAACTTGAAGAAAACGTTATATTTCAAGTATTTCTCTGAATTGCATTTAAGTGTCAATATCACTTGTGGCCTGTCTGGAAGTTTATTTGTTATTTTGCAAATCCTTGATTTGATTACCGACACCGTAAGGAACAGAGACCAGACAATTACACATAGGAGACTTCAGCTACAGGATGACACAGACTCTGACAGAGGACTCGCACTTGGCATGTTTTTTCACTTCCTTGTGAACAACCTCTCTGTGCAGGTTGGTTTTTTTAGAACATTTTACACTAAAATTTTTAATCACAATGTTTCAAGAAGTAATTGCACTGCAATGAGAAAAGCAAAGGACCAGGTAGCATGAGGGAGTATACATTAACTACTATGGGCATTGTACGCTAGAATATAATGCAGCAAAGAACATGTTAGAACGCCAGAACTCAGATTACTACAGACTCAATTTTTGTGCAGATTCACTCATCTTTCACACATTTAAGTTTTATTACAGACTTTAATTATACTTCTCTCCAGCTGAACAACACAACACTCAGCATCCTCCAGTGTAAATGGCATTTCTCTCAGAAAATATATAACCAGCCAAAAGCAAAGCTAAATATACAGCCAGCTACTTCCAGTACACTGAAAAGACAGTCACAAACTTCATCTAGAGAGACCTAATATGCAAAGTCTTTCTCTCTCAAACTGCAGTATTTTCACACTATAGCAGGTCACATTATTTAATAGTGACATTATTTTAAATACTAGTTAGCTTTAATATTTTACATGTAAATGTAAGAGATAATCTCAAAGGTCCTGGAACTTATATTCAAATTCTGATAGACATCATCAGCTCTGTATCAGACCCTGCATGTAATACAGACACCCCAGTTCTCCCTTTGCAAAGACAAGTGAAATTATTACTAGATGTAGAAATTAGCACTGACACAATAATAATGAAGAACCACACCTTTAATGGGCTAAACTGGTGAAGGTCTTTGAGGAAAGAATCAGAAAAGGTAAGATAGAAATTTCATAAAAATAATCAGGAAATAATAAATATGACATAATTATTTGTGCAGGGGTTTTAAAAATAGTAGAAACTTTGTGTCTTTATCTTTTTACACTGGGTTCACAGAAAGTTCACAAAAAGGATTCAGGAGACTGTGAAAAACAAGGTTTCTATAGCAACCTAAGAAATTAGCAAAATACTGGAAATAAACTGAAGTAAGGCCAACACAGTTGTATTGGAACAGATGGAAGCTTTACTATTTCACAAATTAAAGCAGAACATCACTGAAGAGGGAAAAGTAACTCCATCCAAATTAAGGAAAGTTGAAAACCAGGAAGATCTGTGCTCAAATGGAGGCAAGAAAAAATGAACCACGTCTCAAATGAGAACTCAAGACAAAACTAAAAGAGAAATAAATTACAACTCTGTTACAACAGTAAACCATCCTTTATTTTAATAAGCTATCCTTTTATGACCTGTTTGCTGTTTAACACTCTATCTAAACCAGAAACTTAATTTCTCATTTTTAAAACATTAATTCTGGATATAAGGTCAAAATTATCACAGTGTTACTTTCCATATATTGCAAGTTGGACTTCTGATTCATTTTCCCCTGTGCCCCTGTATATATGCATGTTCAGATGGACTCACTGGATTATTACCGCATAGCTACATCTTGTGCAAGACACTTGCACACTTGGACTGAATCAATATGGGTCAGCTTTTATAATTTGAATTCTGACCAAAGATATGAACACAGTCTTTATATACAGTTCCATATTCAGTGATTGCCAAAAGAAGCTGAGTTATTGCTTCATCTGTTGACTTAATAAATGATCATACCAAACGCAATGAAGTCAATTTTCTAAAAATAGCTTGTAGCCAGCTTGGCTGCTGTCATCTGCTGAAGTTCTCCAATGCCACTTTAATTAACATTAATCTTTCTTCAGATAGATCACTGTCTAAACAATATCAAGTTGTCACTAAATCTCCCAGTGAAACTCTCCTTCAACTTTTAATGGAAGCAAAACTCAAAATCCTCCAGTCGACATTTTTTTTCCAGATCCATCTCACAAATATATTTGTTATCTGCATCAGGGTATTCTACCTTTTGACTGATTTATAAACCAAGCAGATTATTCAAGAGAGACTGTTCTTG